GCCCCCCAGCTCCACCGCCTGCCCACACAAGGGCAACGAAGAAGGCGAAAGTTGACGCCGCCAAGAACAAGGACCCGGCGTACGATTGCACGCAAGAGGAGCTTGACACTTACGTTGCATCAGAAGTCAAGAGACAATTCAAGCCTCGAAGTCCAGAAAAGAAGATTCCTATAGACCCCAGTGTTAGGAACTTCTTCAGGGGTATGTCTGCATCTGTCAAGGAGGCCATCAAGCTATCGGACTATGAGCGAACGCTGAAGAAAGCATCTTCTAGAAAGTCCAAACCAGTCCCTCAGCTTGGAGAGCAACCAAACCAGGAGATAGAGCCGTTGGTGACCGGTAAAGAAATGACGATAGAACAATTTATTATTGATACCGGTCTAACTACGGATCAATTGCTAGGAGTCGCACCAATCGAAAAGGCGGAAGTGAAATACATGTACGAACTCGGTAAACCGCTTGTCAAGCCTGAGCTGCTGCAGTCCCTACCCACACAAATGTACAAGTTCCATCAGCTGTACATGGAGATGAGCGCCACCGGTAGAGAGATGATCGGAGCGAGGATCAGGGACACGGACTTCTTGCAAGGAGATGACATTCTTTGGATCAATTTCAAGGGAATCTACGAACTATACCAGCTGGACGCCCTCGACGTCTCTATTATGAGTTGCTGGATTTTGTAAGTATATCGTTCAGTTAGATTTCTTACTATACGTCTCCTTTAATTAATTAGGTCCTTGTATATAAGTAGACTATAGAAAATAATATACTCCCTTTTATCATTGTAGAATGGAGATTCAAAGGGCCCGACGGCGGAGGGTTTTCGATACTGGATTCATCGACCCTCGGAGAGTAAACGTCGCAATGCTCGACCAATATCCACAAGAAACAGAGGACAATCTCGTCCATCTCCTGAAGGCGCAGCATTACAAGACGTTCATACTGTTGCCGTACAACACAGAGTTAGTTTAATTTTACTGTCTTTCTACATACCAAATTTCATTCCCGTACGAACTTGCTTAGTGTTTCATATGTAATGCATCCCACGCACATTGCAGATTCCACTGGGTGCTTTTACTCTTCGACCTGTCGGCCTGCACCGTCAACGTATATGACTCAATGGATAAAAAAGAGTCTACGTTTGATAAGGTTTTCGAACTTATAGACAGGTACCGTCATAAGTTCCTCTATTAATTAAGAAAATCTTGTTATGTTAATTGCTACTACGAATCATAGCTTTAAACTCCATGTAGGGCTTGGTATCGGTTCCGTCATTTGATCCGCGGCAAATGGAGAGAAAGACTTAGGCGGAAATTCAAATTTCCTGTGAGTACACATGCTCTACATTTATATTTCTCCGATTCAAATACATACAAGTGTATATTAATTATATCTCTCGTTGTTTGTCATTTATTTGTAGTGCGCAAAGCAAAAGCAGGGAACTAACTTGTGCGGCTATTACGTGTGTGAGTATTGCCACTGCCTTGCAGACCAAATCATCACCACAAGAGAGCTCGATGTACGTACAAATAAATTCAAAATTTCATTACGTAACGATTTCTTGTTTAATTACTAATCAATTTCATACATTCATATAGTTTATTCGCATGAGGGATAACCTGACCACACACAAGGAATTTATCGCGGCGGTTCAAGACCAACTCATGGGATTCATCAACGAAGAAATCCTTGATCCCAAGGGTGAATTCTACTACGACGGAAACACAATTCACCGATCCTTAGCTTCTGAGCTAGCAGCGAGTACTACTACTACGTCGAAATCGTAGCTAGCTAGGACATATAATGGATTGTAATTAATACATGACTACATATGTTTCTATATGCATGTGTACACATTTTCTATAATGTAAATATATTTTGGTCATATATATATATATATATGCATATATATGCATGGTTTATATATGCAGCAACAGGGCCATGCAAAAAAAAAAGGTCAGCTCGATCTTTAGTTCCGGTTGGTAACACCAACCGGGACTAAAGATCGATCTTTAGTCCCGGTTATTTCACCCGGGACTAAAGATCCTATCTTTAGTCCCGGATTGGTACTCCCGGTTTGGAAACCAGGACTAAAGGGGTTACAAACCGGGACTACAAAGGGTTTCTCCACCAGTGTGTACACATATGTGTCTAGATTCATCTCTAGAATTTGACTTTTTTTGGGATGGAGGGAGTACTAAAAAAAGGCTCGGTCCAAATGGTAAAACCGTATTGTTAATTCCGGTTAGGTAGAGAAACGTGGCACCCGTTTATCTCGTGCTCAAAATTAACTCCAGCATATCTAATCTGGCTCTATAGAACAGGCGACGACGACCCTCTTAGCGTCTTTTTTTTTTTCTTGGAGGCGTTGTTTAGAATACATGTTATGTTTCTATCATTAGAATCAAATGTAGACACGTGGCATAGTTGTATTTTCTTTTCTCCTGACTATAGTTTTACACTTATAGGACTATAGACTTATATTTTATTATTGCTTTATCAATAAAAACATCTCACTATTTTATACGGGTTGTTTCAAAAGAAAAAAAAACGAAAAGATCGACATTGTCTATGTTCAAATTAGTTACTGATTATCTCATTATTTGTTTAATTGTTTATTATTCAGACAATGTCATGTGATTCAGCAGGCGATTGAGACCCGATAATGCATGGACACGTCCATCAACAGGTAGACTGTTACACACCACTGTTATGGATCTCAGCAAGGTCCTAATCGAGCCACAATGATTAAATAAGAAGGCAAGCAAGCAAAGCAAACGTGTTTACCTTTGTGTTTTTTTTTCTAAATGTATCTTCTTTAGTTACTTTTGATCTGGGCACAACATTGCTTTTTCATTATAAAATTATAGCCCCTCTACCAAGCATATATATATAGTAAACATATAATGCAGCCGTCAAAACTATGTACTTCCTCCGTTTTATATTATAAAACTTTCTAATATTGCCCACATTTATATAGGTGTTAATGAATCTAGACATATATATGTGTCTAGATTCATATATATGTCTAGATTCATTAACATCTATATGAATGCGGGCAATGCTAGAAAGTCTTATAATATGAAACGGAGCAACTAGTAATTTAACATTCGTGCAACAGCTACATTCGTACATCTATACCATATTTCACCTGGTAGTCTCAATTGTCATTCGCATACTCTCTCAGTTCTGAAAAAAACGAATCTAGAACTGGATGTGACATATTCTAGTATAATGAATCTGGACAGAGATATGTCTAGATTCGTAGTACTAACATATATCACATCCAGTACTAGGTTGGTTTTTTTTGGACGGAGGGAGTATGTCATTATCATGTTGTATTCCGTCCTATATTTACCTCCGATACCAATCCTCTTAATGTACTGAGCGTGCTATTCAAAACATAACACCTCCTAGTATAATGAATCTGGACAGCCTTTTATCCAGATTCGTTATACTAGTAGGGGTCACATCCCTTTCTAGGTTGGCTTTTTTTTTGGACGGATGGAGCAGTTCCTTAACCTCTTATGGCATAAAACATGTGACTAGACATCTAATCATCATTTATTTGACTCATGATATTATCACCAACCTATGTGTAAAGACACCACCAACTGGGTTGTGGTAATCCCTCCTCTCCGCACACAAAACGGAGCGATAAATTAACGTATGATTAATTATGTATTAGCTATAAAAATTTTAAAAATAGATTAATATGATTTTTTTAAAGCAACTTTCCTACGTAAACATTAACGTACCGTTTAGCAGTTTGAAAAGCGTGCGCGCGCGGGAATTGGGAACTCATGAGAAATAACACAAAATAAGAATGTTTTTTTCAGCTTATATATGTTCTTATTTTCTAGCGAAGATCAGTACGTCTATTCCAAGTTCGTTTTAAAAGCTATAACTCACATCTCTCCAAAGACTAAGAGTATGACTTCTTTTTCATATTTAACATTCGTGCAACAACTACAACCGTACATCCATCTCATATTTCACCTGATCTCCTTAAATTATCATCTGCATATATATGTCATTATCATATTGCCTTCCATCCAGTGGGCATATCCCATGCCGGACCTCTTCATACACTGTACTGTATGCATATAGATCTATAATAGTCCCTTAACCTCCTATCACTTTAAATTAACCATGTACCATAGTATAGTAATTACTCGACTCCTGTTGTTCTCATCAACCTATTTCAAGAAAAACCACTCACTACAAAACTTCAAATCTCAATTCAACTTAAGCCTCTGGGTGTGTCTGACTTAAATTAAACACTAAGGATGCATTATTTTCAACTCATGAACTTATTTTCTAGCAAAGATCAGTATGTATATTCCAAAAGCTATGAAAAAGGGTAAGATCATTTTAAAAGCTATATAAATCATATATCTCAAAAACTAAGAGTATGTGTCTTCTTTTTCATATTTAACATCCGTGCAACACCTACAACCGTATTATCTCATATTTCACATGATCTCCTCAAAAATTGTTATTCACATATATGTCATTATCATGTTGCCTTCTATCCTATATATGGACACCTCTCCCAAGACGTACGTACTCTTCATATACTGTGTATATAATAATCACTGACTCCTGCTATTCTCGTCAACCTATGTTTACAAAGCTTGAAATCTCAATTCAATTTAAGCCTTCAGGTGTGCTAGACTTTGAACCCTAACGTTGTATTCTTTCAGCCTATATGAGCTTATGGATTATTATTACTACAATTTCTCGGAAAAAAAAGACTTTCTTATACAAACAATTAGTGTTACAATATTCAATCCATCAGCATTAGCAATTGCCTATAACATGTCCAGTCATCCGTAAAGAAAACAACATAAATAAAAAAAACTAAGACCCAGTTCAATCGAAATGCCAGCCAGCTCAACAACGAATAACAAATTATATAAGCCGAATCCACAGTTAATTCCACACATACATGCACGCGTCTATATATACACGCTTGTTCTGCTAACTAAAACTTTATCACGCGCATGCTGCAGAACAGTGTAACACGGATGGATCCCCATTTCGGCGGAGTTTAATAATGCGCGGCAACCCCATCACGTGTTCCACACACCCGACCGCGACGCGTCGCCGCCGAGCTCCTTATACACCATGCATTCTCGCCGGCAATTTCACACTACAGCTAGCTAGAGCTCGCCGCCGGCAACGTACTACACACAGCTTAGTCCTGCTACCTCGCCGGCGCAAACGCACTCGATCTCCTCGCGATGACGGTGGCGGCGGCGGCGGCGAGCGGCGGCGTAGGGGGGAGGAGGTACGCGCTGCTGCTGGCGCTGAACGACTCGGAGTACGCGAGGAAGGTGTACGGCGGGTACGGCAACGTCTTCGTCTCGGCGCTCGGCGGCGGCGGCGGCGGAGGGGAGGAGGAGAGGTGGGACTGCTTCCGGGTGATCGACGGCGAGTTCCCGGCGGCGGAGGAGGTGGGGCGGTACGAGGGGTTCGTGGTGAGCGGCAGCCCGCACGACGCGTACGGCGACGAGCGGTGGATCCTCCGCCTCTGCTCCCTCCTCCGGGCGCTCCACGCCATGGGCAAGCGCATCCTCGGCATCTGCTTCGGCCACCAGGTTAATCTACCAACATATACTCCTCACATTCAAAATAAAAAAAAACAACTTTTAGCCTTTAAAATTTGTTTTAAAATATAATAACTTATCCGCCTACATTTGTTTTCTTTAACCAATCGAAACTTTCCACCATTCAAAATTTATATTCGCCTTCTCTTCCCAACCAAATTTCACCAGCTGTTTTAATACCCGTGTTCAACTCTAAAACTTTTTGAGACGGAGGTAGTTATCATTTTCATATATATCAATAAATTGTACACAAATTAGTGTGTTATAATTATTCCAATTTTCATATTCTTGGAGAATATATGAAAGACAGCGCAAACAAACAACTTATGCAGATGTAGAAATGCTAATATTTTGGAATGAACTGGGCATTTGAAGGTTAATCTTCATGAAAATATTAATAAATATTGAGAATTAAGTTTTTTTTCTTGTGTGTGGTTAATTAGGTATTGTGTCGAGCATTGGGTGGTAGAATTGGCAAGGCACGAAGTGGATGGAACATTGGGGTGAAGAAGATGACCTTTGTGCGTGATTTTGAGGGGTCCAAGTTATTTGGGGATCTCAAGGAAATTCCCCAAAGTGCCTCCATCATCGAGGTTCACCAAGATGAGGTGAGAGCACACTTATCATATTTTTTAAAAGTTTCCATAGAACGAATATTGGAATAAATCTTGAAATGATATGAAAGTAATAGTTTTTTTTCTCCTACATGGCTGTTAGATATTTATTATATAAAAACAAAATTCTACTTCTCATCATCTACATTGATTTAGATCAACTACATTAATTGTTGTAGTCTAGACAATCTCCACTTTCTTCCCATATTATAATATGATAATTCTTGTAACCAGTAAGAGCGACTGTGATGGCCCTTTTACGCTATATTTTAATAATATAATAATTATTACACAGTTTGATAATATCATATCGTATATTTCGTGTTTGCATTATTCTATAGCCATTTGCACATGTTTTAAAACCTTAATTGCGGACACTTGGCTAGATTGGGCGGTGTTTGACTTAATTTTTGGAGTGCTGATTTGAGCACCACTCCTACCTCTCAACTTGACACTGAAAATATTCTCAAAAAAAAAAAACCTTGACACTGAAAATGTGTACTTCTGGGTTAATGCATGGCATAGCACTGCATACTAATCATATGCGTACTATTATTATTTCTCCCTGTGATCACTTTCTCTTCCTGGCCAAGTAACAAAACAAGTGTCTAGTATTTTCAAAAGAAATATTTAGATATGCAATACCTAACAAAAGATATGTTTGTACCTTAATATATAATTAATCAATCGATTGACCTGAAAATGTAAGTTGATGTGTGCTTAATTACTTAATTGAATTAGGTTTTGGAGGTGCCTCCAATGGGCAGGGTGTTGGCCTACTCCGACAAGACGCCGGTGGAGATGTTCGCCGTCGGCGACAATGTGTTGGGCATCCAGGGCCACCCGGAGTACACCAGTGACATCCTCCTCAACCTCATCGACCGTCTTGTCAATAACAACACCATCACGGTAAGCAGCATCAGTGCAAAATTAATCACCATCTCTAAACATTTGAGACCTTGATATGAAAAAAATATATGCGAAATTAAATGAGGCTCTAAACCAAAAAAGAATCATATAACCAAAACGTACTTTTAATTAAGGCCTCTTTATAGAGCACTGGTGTGCAACATATAACAACACATACATTACACCTAACGAGCATATAGCTTTTGGACCGACACGTACAACTCATGTACCAAATCCCTATAGGGATATATATAGAATCTTACTTGACATAACATTGTACTCCCTCTCTTTTTATATTATAAGTCATTTAATTTTTTTCTTAATCAAAGTTCTTTAAGTTTGACCAACTTTATAGAAAAAATAGTAATGTCTACGACACCAGACTAGTTTAATTAAATTTAACATTGAGTATATTTTGATATAATGTTTTGTTTTGTAATGAAAAAAATATTATTATATTTAGCTATAAACTTGATCAAACTTAAAAGAGTGCTCATAGGGGAAGTGTGTATGTTTATAGGAGGGGTGAGCGTATGTGTTGTATTGTGTTTCACCAAAAATAAACTTAAAGATGCTTGATAAAGGAAAATGTTAAACGACTTATAGGGACTGTTCACTTTGATGCCAAAAAAAAACCTTACCAAATTTTGGCATTGCCAAAATGGTAGCTTGCCAAAATTTTGGCAGGATTTCTTATGTAATTAGCAAAATTTGGTAGCAAACTAAATGTAGCCACTTTTTTTTGTAACTTTACCAAAATTTGGTAAGGTTGAAAATGGCATCAAAGTGAACCGGCCTATAATATGAAATGGATGGAGTACCATATATACTATAGATATTTCCTTCTCTTTATATTAATTTGATTTTCTTGGTTGCAGAGTGGCATAGGCGAGGAGGCGCGGCGGACGGTAGAGGCCAGTGAGCCAGACCGTCGATTCTGGACGGGGTTGTGCAAGGGCTTCCTTAAGAGACCGACCGCCGCCACCACCGTTGACATGCCTCCACGGGAGGTGGCGCCGGAGATGATGAGCTGCAGCCATATCATCGCTGGTGGCCATTTTGTCGCAACTACTCCGATCGGCTTGTAGCTAGCTGCAGCTAATTAATTTCGCTGGAAGGCTTATATGACGTTGGCTAGTATAAATTTGAACTAGCCAACTTCATTTAAAAAAAACTGGAGGGAGTAATTGTCACCTACTCCGTATGCTGTGTGTACTACTGCAGCTACCGTTTGCACCGTTGCTCGTGGCCATGCATACCCGTACAAGCTAGCTAGACAACTGGCAGCCATTTTTTATTGTCTTTTTTTCCTTCCCCTATATATATATATAGAGGAAGATGATACATTTGTAAGATGTTTGTCTCTTGCCAACTAGCAAGAGATGCTAAAGGAGTTCAGATCTCACACAATATGATAATCATATGATAATCTGTATATGGTGGGTTTAATCAAGTGGAAACTTTTTTTAGAAACACAATACAAAGGTAGACGCTCACAGCACGCACACACTTATCCTTATGAACATACGCACGCAACTCCTATCTCTATGAGCATCTCTATAAGACTTGTCAGGTACATCTTGAGATTAATGAAGTTACCACGGACGGCTCACTGTTGACGAATACTCTGTCTACCATTGAAAGACTAATTAGCAGTAAATACGAGCACCCTATCAAATTTAGGACTTGAAAATGTGGCCACAAGAACAAATTTAGAACTTGAATGTGGGTAGGTTGGTTCCACCACAGGAAACCTAACTAGCTGAGCTAATTTAGGACTTAGGAGTGGAATCTATCCTAGAAGTACTTATTATGGGATAAACTAACCAATGACATTTCCCTGATATTATTAAAATCCTGCTGAAAACTCACTTGTACGTGCTTAATATTCGTGGACACCAAAATTTAAACCCCGCTGGTTGAAGTCGAGCACCATCAAATCACATGCTTCCCCATGTCTAAATCAAATTAGATGCACAAAAGCAGATATTTTTCTTAGCTTTGAATTATCAATTCTACAAACAAAGACACGAAATACAATTGTCAACAGCGACTGCAGTGAGGGGACACTGTACTTTATTCGTTATAGCTTTTGGCCAACACTATCAAACGTGTCACATTACAGATTACGACCCACTCTTTTGGAGTATTAGAGCTGACATGACATTATTTATTAGAGTGAATAATAGTATGCTTTACCCATACACATGCTCATATAAAATTGTTAAAAATTGCTAGTTGGTCAATTAAAGTTGGATGATTTTGGTTCAAGCCTCAAATGAAGTAATTAATTAATGTGTGGGTTAATTAATTAGGTCGATCCTAACTAACATCTTACTATTACTACTTTGATCGAGAATGAGTTAATTAGGGTAATACCGACATCTCTAGAATGAAATAAATCGAATGAGGTGGTGGCGTAACCGTAAGAATCACTATTATGCCGATAAATTAAACCCCAACAGGTCGATCCAAATCCATCTTTGTATGACTGTGACTATCATGATTAGACATTGCAGAATTAATTTTGCATTAATTAGTAGGGTGATACACGAGGAGATTTAAAGAAAAACATACTCCCTCCATTCCACATTATTAAAATATAGAACCAGATGAGACATTTTCTCGTACTATGAGAAATGTTCCATCCGACCCTAGATTTTTTATAGTTGGGATAGATAGAGTATGGTTTTGTTTAGTTCCTAAAAAAATTTACCCAAAAAGATCACATCGAATCTTTGGACATATGTATGCATGAAACATTAAATATAGATAAAAAAACTAATTATACAGTTTATATGAAAAATCGCGAGACGAATCTTTTGAGCATAATTAGTTCATGATTAGCCATAAATGTTACAGTAACCCACATTTGCTAATAACAAAATAATTAGGCTTAATAAATTCGTCTCACGGTTTCCAAGCGAATTATGAAATTAGTTTTTTTCATTCATGTCCAAAAACCCCTTCTAATATCCGGTCAAACATCCGATGTGACACCCAAATATTTTCTTTTCCCCGAACTAAAACACACCCTATATAAGATTAAAGAAAAACATACGTAGGCCAATCTATTCATAAAAATAGGTTCAATTGTTAATGTACGTACGGTACCATCAGTTTCGTTTTCTCCCCACTTTACAAGATGAAATTTATGCCATTTTTTCTACTGCCAACAAAAATGAAACGGCTATGGATTTCAACAAAAAAACGACATGGCTATATATATCTTGAAATCTGGCGAAATTATTTCCATATGTTGATATAGAGAAAAGAGATGAAATCATTTCCAGCTTATTTGGTCCCAATCTTCATCGATGCGCTTGTCTTAGTGCATACTACCGAAATAATTGGAGAGAGAGACTGGCTCAGTTAGGCTTGATATATTAGCGACGTGTAAAATGGGAAATACATACGGTAGAAACTTTCATAGGGAATACATTATTTAGCAGTTTGAAAAGCGTGCTAATGAAAAATAAGAAAGTTACCACTACCAAAATCACTTCCAAACAGAGCCTAAGACAAAAACATGAATTGACATGACAAAAGTATGCTGGCTAATGAAAGGTTTAACAGTATAAGGGGATATATTTAGTTAGCGACCACAGTTCGTCCTTATCTAAAACAACGATTCAAATAGCAACAATTGAGACGAGGAAACTCGATTGGCATAAAAACTGAATTAGTTGATTTTACATCACAACAACGAGGACGGCCAATAAGGCTTTCCTAGTGAATCAGCATCCCGGAGGCAGGCAGGTGAGCTACAAGAACCCAGCTTAAGCAAAAAAAAACAACTAGCCTCTGAAACCAGCTGATCTCAATTCTCAAGCTCTAAGCATCGGGTCCAAATGGCCCAGAGCTAACAAAGTCTTTAAGGGTGAAGTTTAACAGAAACCTTGAGGTTATCTTTGGAAAAGAAACACCAAAGGGGGCCTGTCAAATGTCATGTGATTGGTTAATTTCACTTTCTTCTTGATGCTACCTCTGCTGCCCATGCTTTTCCAACGTCTGTCTGAAATTTCCCTGCAAAGCAATTAACCAAAATAAATGTTAGGTCATTAGTCAAATGGTTGCTATAAAGATATGTTGGAAAATTAAGAACAAGTGCAAGGAGAAAAAAACCCCCAGAAGAATATAGAAATTCATGAGAAAACAAAACTTATGTCAACAATAACCACTCTGGTGCAAGCATGTTGTGATGTATTGAACAGTTAAGGCCATTGCGCAGATTTCAATTGAGTATACCGAATGCTCATGCAAACAACAGAACATAATTTGATGGAGGGAAATCCCAAGAATATCTTACCTGCTGTTGACTGGAAAAACTCTTCTAGGTCCAGCCCTTGCTCTGCAAAATTTCAGATACATAAGCATTACTGATACTGTAAACTCCATTAATATAGTCAAGATGTTCTGAGTGCCTATCAATTTGTACACTATTTAGAGTTTGTCAGTGCTTTGTGAAACAATAATGCAAAAGATATTCCACATTTGATCTAACTTTCCTTGATCCTTGCATATCGACAAGAATAATTGACAAATGTATATCTGTATAGTTCATAGCTAATTCAAAAAGGAAAAGGATGATTCTGGATACATCAAAATATTAAACTAGCAAAATAAGAGCTTACCCTTTTCATACTCCAATGCTTGAAGAATCATCTCAACCTGAATAGAAAGAAGAAAAACAACTAATTATAAGTTAAGGAAAACAGTGATCCAAATCTCAAGTCTCTTGAGGGTTACTCAATTGTCTATAGTGCTCACCTAATGTTAACAATACTTTTTAACTATGGCACTTCTGACATCTAATAGCCTGGAACAAATGATGCCAATCATGCCAGTATTTTTATTTCCTTACATAACTTCTTATCTTCTAAATGATGAGTGCAGACATCATGCCTCATTAGACTAGCAGTTGATAGTGCAAGTGCAGGAGCATTGATATACTGATATACACTTATACAGGGGTTGGCGACCCCCGTGGGGGCACGTTAGGGACAGGGTACAAACTCCCACATCCATACTAATTACTTATTAGACAAAATCTCTAACACTTAGGACTTGTTCGGTTAATCATGTTGAGGAAGGGATTAATTCCACACCTCAATCCCCTCCAATCGTTGTTCGGTTAATCATGTTGAGGAAGGGATTAATTCCACACCTCAATCCCCTCCAATCGTTGTGGGTAGCAAGATAAATAATTACATAGCTGGACAAAAAAAACTGTACCTTGTCAAAATCTTTCACAACCTTTGCTTCCAAAGTGGCATTCTGCTCATATTCCATCCAAAGTTCACGGATTTCTTCAGCTGAATAAAATGACACAGAGAATAGGCATATGTTTACTGTATATCAAATATTGTAGGACAAAGAACAACACTGTTTGTATATTCTTCAGTCTGTCCTTTACACAACAGTATTTTATCTATCTTGCTTCCTGCAAGAAGAACAATTTCTCCAAATGGTAGTCTTTTTTTTTGTTTCAAAGTGCTTCCTAAAGGACTTTTACGTTATGTTCCAAAGTGTGAGAACACAACCTGTTTAGGGGATCTCTAGGTCCTGAACTATTTTCCTGATGTCAGCAATAAGTAATTCCTTGATGATATGATCTGGTTGTCAAGGGAACATCACTAGAAGGATGATGAGTATTAATTCAAGGCTAACAATGGATTTCAGCTGGAACCAATATTTTTAGCATCTAAACAATATCGTAATTGTTCTCTCAGGTCTTCTCGTTGGACTTTCAAGCATAGTGGGGAATAAGGCATTAAGTTGAACAGTTGGATCATCTTGCTGGCATGCTAAGAATATTGTTTACGGTCACCAGGAAGTTTTCAGCAATTTACGCTAGCATCACAGTTACTTTAAATAAATACTCTCTCCATCCCATAATATAAGAAGTTTTAGAGTTGAATACGGTTATTAAGAAAGTAGGTAGAAGTGGATGGTGAAGGGTTGTGATTGGATGAGTAGTGGAGCCGGAGGTAGGTGGGAAAAGTGAATGGTGGAGGGTTGTGATTGGTTGGGAAGAGAATGTTGGTGGGTAAGTTGTTACATTTTGGGACAAATTCTGAGGTCTAAAAGTTATTATATTTTGGGACGGAGGGAGTATATGGTAGTAAAAGATAAACAAATATTATTTTGACAGGATCGAAGCAGATTTAACTCCCATGGCAAAGAATGTTAATATGTTGCTTTTGCATGTAGGATAATTACCTCTCGGACCACCACCGAGCAAACTGCACATATGGTCCAATGCTTCTTGCTCTCTGCGGCTCTTTTCTTCCTTCGGCACGCCATCTGAAGGGGTGATATCACCAACAATAGCTGGAGAACAGGGAAAAAAGGTTTTAAGTGAGACAAACAACCCAGCATCTTCGCATCACAGCCAATCATTATCAAAAGTTGCAAGAATAAAGAAAATAAATGCAAGTACTTTCATTCAAACTGCTTATAACATGGAAAATGTGCATGCAGCTACAAGAAAGTTTGTAAGGGATAAGTCATGGCCCATTACAAATGTAACTAGGAAAAGTTTACACCAAATCTATAGCATTTTGCATAAACTTTGATTACCATCTAATTATGCAAGCAACGCATCATCACTTTACCAAATTTGTGTAACATATAAAACACGCACATTATAACAATTCTGACAATTATAAGCACTTGAATGCTACAACATCCTACTCCACCAAATCAAATCCCCCGCTTCAACACAACCCACCCACGGCATGCACATGTCCAACACAATCACCGTACAGATCCAATTCAAGCAAACGAAAATGTTGGATACCTTCGGCTATGTCGTGCACGATCGCCATCTTGACACACCTGCAAAAAAAACAATGAAACTCGCTACCAAGACATGAATGACGCTAGGAGCCAAGAAGGAAATGGAATCCCCACGCTTGACCTGTCGCGGTTCACGCCGCTGGGCAGGTCGGCGGCGACGAGCGCCATGACGCCCATCCGGTACATGTGGTCGGCGACGGACTCCGGCCCCTGCACCCCGCGCCTCACCCACCCGGCCCTCTTCGTCGTCTGCACACACCAACGGCGTCACGGGCCAATCCCCATGGCGGCACAAACAGAGGAAGCATACAGAGCAGAGGTCGCGCGCGTCGGCGTCGGCGTCACCTTGAGGCGGTAGCAGAGCGTGAGGAAGTCGATGGCGGAGGCGGAGGCCGGAGCAGCGGGAGAGGGGGAAGGGGACGACGACGACATGGAGGCGGCGAGGCGGAGCGGGAGGGGGCGGTGGTGGAGGAGGGGGGATTTGGTGGCGGCGGCGAGGAGGGAGGAGAGGGGAAGGGCTCGGCTCCCACCCATCGCTGGGGTTATTAGAAGGAGGAGGAGCGTGAGGTGGGGAGGCGTCCGGGAATGGCGGAGTGGTGGTGGGGGTGGCCGCGCCGAGAGGTCCGGATGGATTCACGCCATCTTTTATTTTTTGTTGGGCCGGACCACGGCGGGGAGCCCATGTCCCGGCGAGGTATGGGCCGGTGGCGTGGCGAAGCTGATGATGGGCCTGGAGATTGACCAGGCCTGAATCTCTAGGTTGGGTTACTAGTACCGTGTGTATAGGAAAAAGTTCACTTGGGGTCCCTCGTCTTGTCCTCGATTTTCGAAATCGTCTCTGGACTGGAATATCAGATACAGCGTATTCCTAATCTTTGTGAAACCGGGTCGTATTGGGTCCCAACTTTGGACTCTCAAGGCAGTATTGCTCTTGGTGTTGACTGATGTGACGACTGAGATAGCGTGGGAATCATGCGGGCCCCATGTATTAGCACATCTACCTCTATACACCTCTCTTCTTCCTCCTTATCATCCTCCCCAACCGTTGTCCTTGCCTTCTTCCCGTAATGGTAAAGAAGGCGCGTGCACGGGACTCTCGCCAGGCAGGGTGGTGATGGCGGCGAGAGGTCCAGATGGATTAACGCCATCTTTTTGTTGGGCCGGAGCACGGCAGGGAGCCCATGTATAGTGAGGTATGGGCCGGTGACGTGGTGCAGCTGATGGGCCCGGAGATTGAGGCGGCCTCGGCTCGGTCACCTGAATCGCTCGGTTGGGTGCTATCTTGGTGAAAATCTTAGAGCAAGTTAAAAGTAGAAACCAGCTATCAGCTATAAACCCATATAAAACTGACGTATATAATAGATTAGTTATAAAGTTGTCTCTAATTTTCTTCTCCTCTCTTTTTCTCTCACCTATACATTTAGCATATTTATTTCGCAGTATGTGAAGAGTTAGCTTTCGAATGAGAGCCAACATTCTTTTTTTTTCTAGTTCTCTCACCTTCACATGAGTTTACAATTGGTTTATAGCCTTTTACTAAACTTGCTATTATGAATCATTTTAAGGCCCATTGTTTTCATATTAAGATGTAGATTTTACCTCGATTTTCGTTAGCACGTTTTTCCAACTACAAACAGTACTTTTTTAAAAGCCTTTCTTTATATAAGTTGCTTTAAAATATCAAATAAAATTATTCTTCCAGTCTTTAGTAATTAAAACTTAATTTAACATACACTAATGGTTTTCCCATTTTGTATACGCTAACTTCAACTTCATAGAAGAAAAGAACATTAGAATTCAAAATATAAGTATTATATTACTCCCTATGATATTGATTAGTTAAAAATGAACTAACCAACATCGTACATTTTGGGATGGACGTAGTATTAAATTGTAATGAATTGCGCCCCAATAAAACCCAAACCCTAAGCATCAAGAAAAATTAAAGGAGAGATAAAAGACCAAAATATCCTTGATTAATAAGAAGGGTAATTTTACCATCCTTTATAAAGTACCTAGAGGTACCATATTTTATAATGTAAAAATTTGGTACCTCTAGGTACTAAGTATCTCAAGGTACCAAAAAATTTTAGTGTAAAATTTAGGTACCTTAAGGTATTTTCTCAATGACTATAAAATTCCTATAATAAGAAAGTTGTATTGGTTGTAGGGTGGGTAAGGGGTATTGAAGAAATAAAATATCTCAATTTATGGATCGATGGTAGATAAGAAGATAGGCCTTGGTTTATTTTGCGACAAAATTCAAACACTAGAAGTTGGTCTATTTTAGAACGAAGGGAATATGTTGCAACTTGCATTGCATGCATTGTCTAGTGCTAGCTTGTAAGGAACTAGGTGGGAGAACAAGGAGTATATTTAGGGAAAAAAGATATTGCCGTGGAAAATACTGAGCGAGATTTTTTTAAAAAAACAAATATTTTTTGATAATTGAACTATATTCAAGATGGAACAAGCTTATGAGATGTTGTTCAAGAAAATTCAAACCCTATCCACAAGTAAGATGCATGTGTCTTCGGTGACATATCGTAGGGAAACATGCACATAAATAACAAGCAAATAAGTTAGCCTTCCACGTCAACATGTGCTCTATTTTAGCCATGTGCTTGACCAATGATCATAAACATCAAATTTGCACTCCTAGATCCTTTTCTTCTAGATAATAATATGTCTAATTTAGACACAATAAAATAGAAGGTGAGCTAAGATTATAACTAAGACATAATGTCATAATGTTTTCTAAAACTATACACTCTCTTATGACAGCTAGAGCATTTGACATTGCTCAATGTTATGCCAAGAACCACCTAATAAGATAGAAATTGTCTTGTACTTTTTCCAGACTAACTTGGGTTGTACTTGGACTTTGCTACTGTAGCTGTGGGCATGACATTGCTCCTTTTATCTCTGCAAAGAGCATGTGGAACAAAATATAAACTGTGAATCTAAAGTAAACCTCTTAATCTCTGGGAAGTATAATTTTAGGACAAAATTACAATTACCCTTTTCTCTAAGCCTCTGAACCTCCTCTTGGCTATCATGGAGCCTACAAAGATATATGGTTACAAAATATGATGTTATAAACAAATAAATTACTTTCACTTTAAACTAGAGAATTATATGTTAAGATAGTGAAAGTTGTTTCAAATAGAGGCGTACATTCGCTCCAAACTAGCAATCCGTTCTAATAATTCCTTTTCTCGTGGTGTAGCCACTTCCAACTGCCACAAAGAAGATTTCAAATGGTTACTTTAAAAATGTTCCTATCAATGTTTAACAATAGCATTTATACGTTAACTAGTTCATAAGCCTATTGGATTGCAATTTGTTAACAACTAAAACTAGATATGTTGAAGCTACAAATTAAGAAACATACATAATATAGATAATCATATGACCAAGATAAACTAAATTGAAGATTATGGCATTACATAACTTAGGGTGCATGCAAAATGACTTTATACCCTATATATGAAATGATATATATCAAATATGATGTTCGTCTGATAGTTCTTTTTTTTTACTCGGCGAATATACTCTACCAAAACATGTAAATTGCAAGAGAAGGACAAATGAATTGAACAAAAATAAGCACATAAACTAGTAATTATGATATAAACTAATTCAAAATGAGTACCATGTCACATATAACTTGTTTTACCCCTACTTATAGTTAGAGAAAATATCATGCAATAAACAAGTCAAAAGTAATGCTTTAAAAACTTGATCACATATAGAAAATTTTCGTATAATAAAAGACTTACCTTCTCAACCTCAGCACCTTCTACCGTCACTTTAAAACGGCCTTTCTGAATGGCCGATTTAAGATATTCATCAAAGTCCTTGCAATTTGATACTGCAAAAAACAAATCATTCTTACCTTGCTCTAATGTGTGTAAACCACTCCAAAATTTATACTATATTCAAAATGCAAAGTTTTAAAATGTGTGAAACAATAATAAGCATAAGAAAATATGAACAATACTAATTACCCAATACTTAATTTAAAACTATTATAATGCATTTAACCGCCACTTTTTTAGTTGGGATAAGGAAATGTACAAACATGCCTGCTCTTGTGATTTGCTTAGTAGGTGATTTGGGTCGATGTTGAAATGACTCGTGGCGCACGAGGCCATTAGGGCTTCCTTTATTCTCAAGTTGTTTCACACTGACATAAACAACTAAGTTAGATATGATGTATTAAACTTTTTTATGCTTGCGATTACATCAGAATCTCATGGAATCATTCCTAAATAAATCATGTCCAACCAAAATGATAGAGCTTGTATGTAATATAAGTAGAGGGCAATGATATAATAAAACACAATAATGGTCAAATAACCACACAATGCATTGTAAACATCTTATGAGAGTTGTTACATCAATAACATACTTGGCTCAAAAAAAAGATTGTGGCATTAACATTGAGCATTTATTGTTAAAGAATACATATTTGGAACACCTATTATTGTGAAATGATTTGCATAATTATTTTAATGAAAATTATTATTGTATTAAAAAAATGAAACATTGTGAAAGGAATGAAGTCGATGATGAACCTTTGAAGTATGGGCGTCGTATCTATTTTCTCATTTCTTGTGATTTCATTGCTTTCCTTCTGAAAATGTGACTTTTATTAGATATATGTATATATTAACATAGTCACTAAAATAAAAATAAAAAATCTCAAAAATAAAATTACCTTCTCATTTTCATTTTTAGAGTAATCTCGTGATTGAACGTCATGTATGGGAGCACTTTCACAAATAGTATCAAGTTCAAAAAGAAAACGCAAATACTCATCTTCGCCGCCATCATTCTCATCTGGGTACTAAACATTGTTCAAAAAAAACTTTATATAGTTAATAGTTAAAAGGTTGTTACAACCTTTGCAAAAAAAAGTATACTCGTACCAGTGCAGCTTGTGCCTTTAGTTCTTCTATATCAAAGTTCCACTCACTAACTCCTCTCATATACTCATCCTGTACGTAAAAAAATGTTCAAAGATTGTTACAATAGTATCGATTTCTAGATAATGACGGTTACCATAAATTAAAATTATATAACAACCTGATCTCACATAATCTTAGTTAATGTTAGCACCAATTTAGATGCATTCATTAGTTCTAATAGCAATAATACAATTTATAGGTGTGAACAAGTAATAATTGCACTAGCAAATGAAAATTAGAGAAAATGCATTTGTCATAACAATGTTGTTAGTGTAACAAAAATTGCAAAGTATATTTTTAGTACTATAAACCTGTGATGCCTTCTCTTTGCATTTATCAAGAGGTTTTTTCTCAGCTTGCAGCTTTGCTTCATTCTCCTACAGAAAATAACTTATAGAATTTAATATTATGAAGGGATGAATATTTGACTATGATAGGACGATGTAGGGATCATACCTGTATACTTTGCATCCGATCACCCAACGATGGCAACTTATTTAGCACGGATTTCAAAACATTGTCTTCAAACTTTACCTTTTTGAAAAATGGGAGTTCCAATAAATGTTGTGCGGTTGGCCTTTTTGATGGATCTTTCATTAGACAAGTGGCAATCATTTGCTTAAAGGACTGCAAAACAAATGTACAATTAAGGTAGTATAGTTAAAAATACACATATTGAGCCACCATATAAATATTTATGAACCTTTGAAAACTTCTTATCCTTTGTATTGTGAAGTGATGGAGGAGCATGTTGTAATGTCAAGAGAAAGACCTATACAATATTTGATAAAAGGTATTAAGTTATCATGATGCTATGAAAAAAAATAAAAAATTTAGACTAAACAAATACCTTCGCTGGAGGTTGAGTAGAAAAAGGTGCATGACCATGAGCCAATTCAAGTGCGGTTATCCCAAAAGACCATATGTCTGCCCTACAGTTGACTTTTGTTTTATTGAAAAATATAAAAATAAAAACACTCATTCTTAACTGAAAGATGATAAGCCAATAATCAAAATTGATAAGTACTTGGCATCATATTCCTTTTGCTCCATGACTTCAGGTGCCATCCTAAAGGGAAAAACAAAATAAATAGTATATTAGCATTAAATTGACTTGGGTAGTTTAAAATTCACAAATAGTTCTTTTCTGTTCTTTAGAAATTACCAGCAAGGAGTCCCCACAAGAGTCTTTCTTTTACCATGTCTATTAATCATTGGGTCATAAAGACTAGCCGAGGCCCCAAAATCAGCAAGTTTCACTCCTTTGTGTTGATCAAGGAGTATGTTGCCAGCCTAAGATCACGTATGAAGTATATGGTGTGTTACCGTAATACATGTTAGCCATATAAATTATGAATTAATTCATATTTATTAAACTCTGCATGAGAAAGATTCATACCTTCACATCCCGATGTACAAGTGCATAGCGATGAAGGTAAGCTAAGCCTTCTAATGTTTCGCGTAGGACAAATGCTATAAATTTTTCGTCAAACCCTTTTGGATATGAAGATTTCATCAAGTGAAAGCATGACCCACCAGCCATATAGGGCATAATAATCCATAAAGTTTCACCTTCTGTAAATGAACAATATGCACCAAGGAGATTGTCATGGTCAATAGTACTCATCATTTTAACTTCCTCAGAGGCATGATTCTGCAGAAAGTAAAGAAATATAGGTGTCTCTCAATACAACTGACGAGTAATATGTTCATAATTTCATTCTTGCACACTATGCATCTAGAGGTATGCACAACCATGTTATTAATAAGACTACAATTATCTACAAATCAACACTCGCATCTACTGTTTCGTTGTGAAGTCATCTCCAATGCAATACTATAAATTTAATTAGTTATTATGTCTAAATCCCAAACACATAGCAGATTTAACTTAGTAAGAAGAAGTAAGTTAAGGCCAGGGTGACGGTCACCCAAAGACATATATTAAATTCATTATGCGAAACAAAGAGTTGATTACGTTGCTTATTTAGATACAATGTAGAGATATTTGTGTTGGGAAAATGCCTCATGTGCATTGCTTAGCTTGCTATCATGAATGCTAGCACCATCGCTTTTCCAGGGACAGAGGGAGAGAGGGGCTAATGCTCACAGTATGCATGTCGTACGCAATTTTGTTATGTATGTATAGGTTCTAGTCCACTTTTCGAAATAGTTGCTCTTTTTAACCCGAAGACTTCAAGACCTCTTAATAAGTAAAACTTATACTTAAGTCTTCTTAGTTGTTTATGTACCAAGTTTATTTGATATTCAGTAATGCACGCAGTATGCATGATATACACAATTTTGTTACGTAGATATTATATTCCATTGTTAGAAATAGTTATTCTTTTCGACTCGAAGACTTAAGTATTAGTTAAGTAAATAAACTTATACTTAAGCCTACCTTCAGATTCATTGTCTAATTTGTGTATCAAGTTCATTTGATATTCAGTAATGCTTATAGTATGCATATAGTATACAATTTTGTTTTATATGTCTTCTATTCTACCTTTGGAAATACTAATTACGTTTTTGACCTAAAGACTTAACTGATCATTTTGGAAAACATGCATAAACTTAGAACCTTCAGGGCCGTGATAATTCCTACGAAAAAAATTATAATCCACTAAAATTTATGAAATCATCATGCAACTAGATTACTAGAAATTACTGATGAACTTAAGTTTGCATGAGTTTGGATGCTGCATGCACCAATGACACGACACAGTCGACTCGCATAAGCAAGTATGCATGATCCAGAGACGACGAAGAAGAAGAAATGGACATACGTACGTACCACATCGTCTTCAGAGCGCTGCGACATGTTCATAATCTTGACGGCGACGACCTCGCCGCCGAGGGGGAGGCACCGGGCCCGGCGAACGACGGCGGTGGCGCCATCCCCGACCGGCTCGAGCAGCTCGTAGTCCTTGGCCCGGCTGGGGAACTGGTCCCTCTTCCTCGCCACTGCCTGTGGCCCCGACGACGACGACGACCCTCCCCGCCTCTTCCCCTTCTCCATGGAGATCGATCGATCGATCGAGCCCCCCACCACGACACACAACAAATTACCCTAGCTATGTGTCTCGATCGGCCATGGACGATAGACCTCGTAGTCTCTCGATCCCGATCTCTCTCTCGAGAGGCCAAGCTGCGGAGATCGATTTAAATCGATGGATGGATCGATCGCAAGAAGGGGGATTTTCCCGAAAATGCTTACCATCGGCCGTCCGGCCAGAAATAAAAAATTGGACGTCTCAATCTAAAATAACAACAGTGTAGGTGCATGGTGAAACGGTTGGTTAGGTGTACGACAAACCAACGGAGCATGCATTCAAACATGTTTTAAAATTTAAATGATTTTTTCTCTTAAACTATTTATCCGAATTTCAAACTAATTATATCATTGGATTCGTTACAATTAAATCTTTATAACAAGATATCACATGACTATATTCCGACGACTTTTAAATTTACTTTTCAAATGTTGCACACATTGTTACTGAAATGTTCCAACAAGCATTGTTGATGTTTCACTAATTCATTAGCAATGTTTCATGCTATCCCTTTTTATATGTTTCAGCAAATACATTTATTATGTTTAAACATTAATTATAATACGATGTTTCAATCTAAATATAAAAAATGTTTCACTAGTCGGGACTTAATGTTTCATGTAATAATGATTATTGTTGCCGTCAATACTTTTTATATGTTGTACCTCTTTGGAACAATTTGTGAAGTGGGTTGAAACATCTCCACAAGTGATGAAAGAATTATTTTTAAATAGTTCAACATAAGTTTGTTTTCTTCTAGAACGCATATATATTTTTATCAAAATATATTCATGTGAGATCTTGTTATAAATTATAGATTGGATATATATTTTAGAATAAAATTTTGTTTAAAGTTTGATTAAGAGAGAGAAAGTAATGGCGCCTCATGCCACCTTGGCAACTGTTAACAGTGAAATTTGGTAATCGGCAAAGACGTCATCGGTTTAGAATCATTATCGGCTGCAGCATCTCGGAATCAGCCGATGGGAGTTATCAAGTCGCCAATAGTCGGATTCCTGCTATATTCGGTTAAGGAAATCAATCTACTAAAGGAAGCTTATCAATAAGTGACCGAGTTTAAAGAGGATGTGGTATGGCAATTTATCTATTAATTAGGAATAGTTTGTTAGTTTCCTTTTATCTTTAGGAAAGTGTGTTTAGTGTCCGATAAAGACTTTATGTTTTCCTTTTATCTTTAGGTTAGTTTCTTTCTTGTCCGACAAGGACTTGTATCAACCCATGGGTATAAATATGTACACCCGGAGTCTATGTAATCTATCTTCACGATCAATACAATTCGGCGCATCGCCACCCTTTTTACTTCTACTTTTGTTTTTACGTTCCGACGGAACTTGGCACCCGACGTGGGGCTGCATCGTCTTCGATCTCCGGCGAAGGGATAAGTCCAATGTTCCACCAGTCCAGGCAATTGTATCGTCTACGTCGGCGTCGTTCAAGGCTGCATCAGTACATTCGACCTCTTGGATTACTCTGGTTTGGATTACTCTGCATCAAAATATAATCATGCGATATTTTGTTGTAAAGATTTAATTACAACGAATACAACGGTGTGATCGGATCATAGATTGAATAAGTAATTTAAAAGAAAAATCATTTTGAAGCTTGCTAAAATACATGCATGTATGCATGCATGAGGTGGAGAGAGAGTAGTAGCAGGTAGATTCAGGAATTTTGTGAAACACACCGAAGACACATATTGAAACATATCACTATCACGTATGAAACATTTTGTTCTAACGGTTTGAAACACATGTTTTTCTTTTGACATAATATAATCATGTGATATCTTATTGTAAAGATTTAATTACAATGAATACAACGGTGTGATCGGATCGTAGATCGGATAAGTAATTTAGGAGAAAAAAATATTTAAAGAGAGGAGGAAAGAATGAAAAGAAACATCTTCTATGCACATACGTTACAGTGACATGGTTCGTTCTCACATGCGCTCGTTTAGACGTCCGATTTTTGGTGTGATGCCGGACGTTCGAGCCGTAGCACTCTCCGGATTTTCCTTTTCGCATGGCTCGGTGCTCGCATGGATTCCTTTCTCAATCTTTCTCGTGGGCGCGCGCGGGCGATCGGGAAAGGAAGGGGAGGATAGATGGTCGGGAAAAGGAAGGAAGGAGGAGGAGAACGAGACGAGGCGTCGCCGACGCCCGCGCGCGTCAAGTGCGAGAGATATTTATATCGGATCGGAGACGGTGAGATCCGCGCGCGCTGGTGCACGGGATTAAGGCTGCGTTTGTTCGGAGAGAGCTACAAATCGGACATCCAAATCGTCCGATGTTGTAAAAAAAATCGGACGGACAAATGTTTCAGTTGAGCGTTAGTGCAACATTAAGTTATACATGGTGAAATGGAAAAATCAGCCTCTGAAATATATAAAAATTTTGTGAAACACAATAAAAACACATGGTGGAACATATTTATATCATGTATGAAACATTAAGTTTTTATGGTTTGAAACATATGTTTTTCTTTCATCAGAATATAATCATATGTGATATCTTGTTGTAAAGATTTAATTATAGCGAATTCAACGGTGTGATCGAATCGCTCATAGGTTAAGTAGTTTGGAAGAAAAAAGATTTTTTAAAATCACTAAATAGTTGCATGCATGCATGGTGTGGGGAGAAAGACAATAAAATGTATGAGAGAGAGTGTGTGTGTGTGAGGCATATGCGTCTCATACTTTTTCAGCGTGAAGCATTGTACGTGGTGAAACAAAAAAAATAAGTTACTGAAATATTTAACTTTTCTATGAAACATAATGAAAACTCACAATGAAACATATTGCTACCGTGTCTGAAACATTAAACTTAACGGATTGAAACATAAGTTTTTCTTTCATCGGAATATAATGATGTGATATCTTGTTATAAAGATTTAATTATAATAAATATAATGGTATGATCATATCATATATTAGATAAGTAGATCAGAAGTAAAATTATTTTAAATATCATTATAACATGTATGGATGTGTGGAGTGGATAGGGAAGTAGTAGTTTGCCTGTCCAATTTTTGTTTGTAGCGTCAGACGTCTGATAGGAAGCATTTCCGCGTTTGTTCCTGCTACTCCCTCCGTTTTTTAATAGATAGCGCCGTTGACTTTTGAACATATGTTTGACCATTCATCCTATTCAAAAATATTTATGTAAATGTATAGATATATATCATGCTTCAAGTACTTTGAGTGATAAAACAACTCATAACAAAATAAATTATAATTACGCAATTTTTTTTAATAAGACGAATGGTCAAATGTGTGATAAAAAGTCAACGGCGTCATCTATTAAAAAACGGAGGTAGTACTTTTCAACACGAACAGTGCGCACGGAAAATGGAGCGGTCCATTTAGCAGTTTATATAACCGATCTGTCACTTGAACCCTAGCGTGCAATGCATAGCCACGTTACGTTGTGCTCTGGTAACGGTAACTTAACCGCATAATAGCTAATATTACGACTAGTATATAGTGATTAAAAAAATCTAATTCAACTTTTAGTTACATAGAATTTTAAAAGAATCGCACCCTGCCTTGTCAGACGATTGAACCATTTTATTATATGACACATGATCACTACGCACACGCAACACACCACACTCATACATCCTTGATTTGCATTCCCTAAGACGCGCTCAAAGCATAGGCCGGATACACCTTGTACTCTCAAAAATTTCTTAAACACATTTGGATTTGTTAGATATTATGTGTGTATATGATTTAATTTGTCGAGTTATAATAACTATAGTTGATTCTAAAATGTAACCAAACCAAACAACTATATTTTATTATAAGTATTTCCTTATTATTTTATAACTTTTACCTAGTTTCTCCTCTTTGGTAGAAAAGCTTTAATTAAGCTTTTTCATATGTTGATGTTTCCCTTCAAGTTTGTACATCTGTCTTTATCACTGGCTCAAAGAGATAGAAATCCAGCACATCTGTGATTTTGCTAAAGTCGCATTGAAAGCTTTCACTTGCATTTACGTAATAAATCCATAATTTGAATTCTGATGGATGAGGTCATGCATTAACAACTCCATCACTACATTGTTGGTGCTTTCCCGCACCGTCGAACCAATCATGACCGTTGATTTCTGATCGGACGGTCACAATGGCATGATGGAAGGCCGATCTATCAGATGGAGGGTAAGAAATCAGCAAATGTTTGCATGAAAACGAAATACTCCATTTAAAAGAAGATGTACCTGCGGCTGCACTGTGCGGAAAAGTGCGTGGACGGTGGATGGATGGCATGAATGAGCTCGAGCTGTCAACGGAAAGGAGACGTACGCTTTTCCAGCTTTCCAATGGCGAAGGAAAAGGGGTTATTCACGGGCAAACTTGGAAAAAAAGATCGCCACTTATATACTCTCCGTGACTGTACTGCTGAGCTCTACTGGGCGCGTGCCATCCGTGTTATGATCTTCACCCAATCACATCGGCTTGATGAATTTTGTATGCATGCATCTGTATACGATTGTAAACCATACACAATTTTAAAATATATGGCATTTCACGGCGTATATTTCCTTTCCATGTGTGTGTTTCATTCCCTTCAAAATCTTTGGCCTATGTAGGATACGATTCTAAACAATACAATTGTAAAACATATAATCCGTGACATGGAAAAAAAAGAAACATTGACACTGGATAGTTGTACTCCATTAACATGTAATCGGTTGTAGTCTAGCTGGTTAGGATACATTGGATAGTTAATGTGATTCTTTACAAACATCAAAATGGATAATTGTACAGCATCAGCTTGTAATCCGTTGTAGTCTAGCTGGTTAGGATACTCGGCTCTCACCCGAGAGACCCGGGTTCGAGTCCCGGCAACGGAATTTTTTTTCTCCCCATTGTCTCACTTTTTTTTTTTAGTTTTTTCCATTGGCTCTCACGGCCTTTGGGCTAGAATAAGCTAGTATACTTTTTCAATTTTTTTGTATTGGCTGTCACGGCCTTGTTCTAGAATATTCTACAGGACGGGCCTGGGAATGGGAGTGATCCAACCACCAAATTGGGCTCACAATGCAAGAAGACACGCCACTACCTCCAACACAGGCCGGGCCCACCAAACAACAGGCCGGAGAGGCAAAATCCCTCTGCATCTGCATGTCCTCACGCAAACCAG